CCTTCATTTAGACTGGAACTTTGCTGAGCCATTTTCAAGAAATTTTGTTTCCACTTTGACTTTATTTCCGAATAAACTTTTTACACTAACGGTTAACGTTGGCATAGTTGTGCCCAGCGAATGGTAGCACCCTAATAATACCACTGACATAAGATATGCGCACTGATTGCCTGGCGGTTTTGGTATTTCCGCTCTTTACAACCTGAGCGAAAATTAATAGAAGTATTCTTGTAGACTTATGTCCGTCGGTGAAAGCTGATTCAGTAGTCGTAGAAGTTACTCGAGTTATTCGCGACTTGCGTTGCCAGGTTGGTATCTTTCCAAGACAACTTTTCTTCGACTGCAGTACGACAACTGCTTTTGAATTCTCAAGGTGCTTTATATTTTATACCAAGGATACCAAGCCCAGCAGTCAGTGTAGGTTTCCTGTTTTAATCACGTTAACGGAATGCTGTCATAAGCCAGGCTGAAAAATGCCGACCCCTTCGATCCTGAGCTGCTTACCTCAGTTGGCACCTCTCGCCTGTTTGGTATATGTCCCCCGGTTTTCAAGCCCCGCTCCTCCCCCCACCCTCCCCAATTGATCGTTACTTTCTAGTAGGTACCAATTCACACTATTAAAAATCAAAAAATGCAAGTGCAGAAACTGCACGCATTTAAAAAAAATAGCGTCTTATCAGTTCATGACGATTACATGTTTTGTAAATTCGTGCTGATTTCGCACGCAAGTAAACAGCGGTGCGCGTCCTTCACAGACTTGGGCCCATTTATTGATAATGAATGATGTCTGGACAAACTTAAGTGATGAATTCGGGATGCGGATTGCCATGTCAAATACTTTTTTAAGAAGATGGAAGGTTTTTGTGCAAAGTTTCAGGTATTTATTGCTGGATCTAAAGCATATTTCAATAAATCGGAATCACTCAGCGGAGTGCGAGAGGGATTTATTGACATAGATAAGATTGCTGTTCGCGTTGACTGCTTTTCATCGGAGCTTGGTATACCGTGGGATGCAACCTCTGTGGAATATGCGTTTGCGCTGGAAATTATCATCGGTGAAATCGTTGCAAGAGTTGACCCTACCCAGGTGATTTCATCCCTTTGTCTACGAAAAACGTGAGGAAAGCAAAAGTTCTAAAATTTCTGCCTAAAAGGACTTCTCTTTTACGTGTTTATGGCGAACGCACTTTTTTTAGTTACTCAACGGATATTAAGAAAGAAGGCATAAAAACAAAAAGTCATATTTTATAGGCGTATAACAAAGCACTTTGTGTTTTATCCCTCACCACCAAATATAAGCAGAGTTCCGCGTGCGGACAGGATCGGGAACAATTCCTATAAGCTCCGCTATGTTTAAATGTGCATTTGATTAATTTGCAAATTTGGAGCGAAGACTGAGTAAGATCTTACAGAACGTCAGCAGGGAAATGAATCTTGAATAGAATGTTAAAAGGTGCTCAAAGAACTGATAGCACACTTGCTGTGTTAGCGAACAGGATACTGAAGCAGAAGAAAAGGCTACACTGCTTGATGTTCATCTAAGTCTAGAGCGAAACAAGTCTAAGATATAAATAGATAGATAGACAGCTTCAAAGAGCTGCATGTCGATGCACTGAGAGCTAGAATCATTCTGAAGACTCTTAACTGATAATTTACTGTTCGTAGCCTAATTTGAATAAGAAATAATTTCGCGAAAAAGCAAAAAACAAAATGGGTCTTAGTCTTGCCTAACCCAGGCACGCTTTATTTCGTGAAACTCTAGGTTTTCAATTCTGGAGCCAAAAAATGAGTGTGAATTTGTGCATTGTACGGTGAGGTTGTTATGTGCATAATGACCGCCAAAAAAAGAAATAAAATTCAATTTTCAAATCGAAAAGATTTAATCAATTTTCAAAAAAATTTAGCTCTCAAAAAACAATTAAATCTTAGCTCAAACGTTTTAACTATTCATTACGGCTCACCGTACTTTTCTTCCTTACCCCCAACATTCTCACTTTCATTCCCCTGACTTTCACATTAACTTTACATTTCTGTATGTTCCTTGTCTAGTTCCAACAAAAATGAAACACTTTTCTTTCTTTTCCTGCATTCTCTTGTTTA